GGCCAATTATTTTTGACAAAGGTGCCAAGACAATTCAATAGGAAAAGGATCATCTTTTTAACAACACTGAAACAATGTAATTTCCATATGCAGAAAAAAACAAACCTCTACATTCACCTCATACTGTACATAAAAATTAAACTTGAAATTGGCATAGACCTAAATGTAAGAGTTAAAACTAAATAAAACTTCTGGAAGAAAACATAAGAGAAAATCTTAGTGGTGGGGCAAAGATTCTTTAAATACCACACACACGAAAAGCACAAAGAACTCTTACAACTTAATGGTAATGAGAAAAATAACCCAATTAAAAATAGACAAAAGAACTGAAGATCTACTTTGCCAAAGAAGATGCATGGATGACAAATAAGCACATGAATGAGAAGATGTTCAACATTAGTCAGAACAGAGATGAAAGTTAAACCCACAATGATATACCACTACACTCCTGCTAGGGGGCTCATTTTAAAAGAACTGACCACACGTGTTGGCAAGGATGTGATGCAACTAGAACTCTTACACACTGCTGACGGATACACAAAACTGCAAGAACAGTTAAGAAAACAATTTGACAGTTTCTTAAAAAGGTAAACATATACATACCATATGATCCAACCATTCCACTACTAGGTACTTACCTATCATTCATTTATACTGCTGTGTAACAATATTACCACAAACTTAGTATAAAACAATACACATTGATTATCTCAGTTTCTATGGTTCAGAGTCAGGGCACAGCTTAGCTGGTTCCTCTCTCTAAGGCACAGGTGGCAAACACAAGGCCCACGGGCCAAAGCGGGCCCTCCACCTTGTTTTATGTGGCCAGGCACCTTGTTTCTACCCAGCAGCAGCACCAAGCTCTCACTTAACTGTTAAGGAGTAGTTACATTTATGCAGTCTTAAAATTACATTCAGCCCTTTACAGGCAACTGCAAAGCTGATGAGGCACCCGGTGAAAATGAGTTTGACACCCCTGCTCTAAGGTCTCACAAAGTATTATCTGAGGTTCAGCTGGGGAATGATTCATTTCCAAGATTGCACAGGTGTAAGGAGAATTTGGTTCTTATCAGGTTGTCAGCATGAAGACCACAGTTTCTTGCTAGCTGTTGGCTCAATGCCACCTTCAGCTCTTTACCACATGGTCCTTCACAACAAGGCCACTTGCTTTTTAAAAGCCAGAAAAGGAGACAGAGTCTGTCCTAGCAAGACGGGTTTACAATATTGTGTAACGGAATCATGTATATTACCCTTTGCTGTATCTTGTGGCTAAAAGCAAGCAACATTTATTTGTCAATTATACTCCAACAAAGTTTTTTTTTAAAGGCAAGTCAGATTTCACCCATGATGAAAAGGGAGCAGCAGTGTCCAACTCACACCCCCCAGCCACATGCAACTCAGGATGGCTATAAATGTGGCCCAACACAAAACTGTAAATTCACTTAATATATTATGACATTTCTTTTTCGTGATCGTGTGTTGCAATGTATTTAATGTGTGGCCCAAGACAACTCTTTTTCCGTTGTGGCCCAGAGATGCCAAAAGGCTGGTCACCCCTGAGGGTAAGTATTATTCAAAAGCATGAGTAATGAGACCACCTTGGAGTCCATCCACCACATTACACAAGAGAAATAAAACACATGTCTGTACAAAAACCTGTAGACAAATGTTCTTAGCAGCTTTATTTGTATCAGTCAAAAACTAAAAAGAGTCAAATACCCATCAACAGGATAAACTGTGGTATATCCATACAATGGAATATACAGCAATAAAAGGAAACAACTAATTGATACATGCATCAACATGGATCAACCTCAGAATAATTATACTGAGTGAAAGAAGCCAAGCAAAAGAGAGTACATACTGTATGCTTTATTTACATCAAATTCTAGAAAAGCAAATTAATCTCTTGTGACAAAACAAACAGATCAGTGATTTCCTGAGAAAACTGAAGGGAGGAGGAGACAGATTACCAAAAGGTGATGAGAAAATTCTGTAGTGATAAATGTTTATTATCTTGGTAGTGGTCATGGTTTCACAGATTTATACGTATGTCAAAATGTTAGGAACCACCCTGCCTGGTTTCAGAAGCTATAACCGCCCCCATAGCTAAGGATGAGTGAGAAACCTTGGGACCATAAGCCACTAAGGAGACAAAGCTTATCTTCCTGCCAGGGGCACCACCTCTGCCCCGTTTTACTTCACCTTGCTTGGCCCTGGGTGGGTGACCATTTAGCCAATGATGGGTAAGATTTATCATGAGGAGGATGACCTAAAACAGGCACAGTCATGAAGGGGCCCTCAGGGAAGGACTTGGGAAGCTATAGAAAAAGGGGCTGATGGACCCTCATCCTTCAGCTTCGTTATAGCCTAAGTCCTCATTCTGTCTGTGAGAAGTCTCCTAATGTCTTGGCTGCCTTACTTCCCCTGCCTGACTTAAGCCTGAAACAATGAGGGGTGGTGCAGCCCTGTGCTGGAAACGGGGAGATCTGCTGGGTGATCAGGCCTAAGAAAGAACACATAAAATCCTGTAAAACCTGCTTTGCTAAGAATGTCCTCAGTTTTCTGAGAAGGGTCCAAGCTTGAAATGAGTTTGTTTCCCAAAGTGTTATGGCCTTTTAGCTAACTGACCCTGACTCAGATTAAGCCCTCATAGTTCTTTGTATGTTATCAATTGTTTGATCCTTACTACCTGACAATGATTGAAGAGCTTTACCCGTATTCCTGTGCAAATTATTGAACCCAATAAAAGCCCACTGAGGAAAAAGCTCCTGGCCTTTCTCCTTTGAGAATTTGGCCACCTTTCCTCCTTAAGCAGATCATATCACGTCTTGGTAGACTTAGTCTCATCCATGGTGGACTGGGAGCTCTGCAGGCAAAGCTCCCCCACATGAAAATTCATCAAATTATACACATTATGTGCAGTTTAATGTACCTCAACAAAGCTTTTTCTGTTTTTTAAAAACATAGCATCCACTCCAACAAGGGCACCAATTAATCATCACATCAATTAATTAAAATAAAAAATGTGTTCATTATTTACCACTCAGTAAAACTGATACCAAGAAAAAGAATTGCATAACTGCACAAATATTCATAATATGCTGTGTGAATGAGGTGACATTCAAATGAACTTTCAAGGACAAAAAAGATTTTGATGTGTAGTGATAGAAATAAGAGCATTCCCAGCACAGAAAGATTAATTAACATGCTTGTTTATTCAACAAACATTCATTACACTTGTGTACTCAAGGAATGTGCTAAGCACAGTGAAGACCTTTTTAACTGCTCTTAGCAAGTTTCCAGACTGGGTTTATGAAATTTGGAGATGACCAGGATATTATGCTCAAAACTTAGCTACATTTTTCCTAATGTTCCTAGTCATTAATTTATTTGAACAATTCTTTCTTCATTGTAGGAATAAATAATTACATTAAAAAGTCATAAATTATATAAATAAATTCAATAAAATGATTTTTATACATGTGGTCAGTACATACATGGTTGATAATTTCAAAACTGTTTCATTATTTAAGAAGTAAAACTATATAGCTCTGATTACTCTGAGGATTCAACCTTAGGATTCAACTTTATCTTGAAGAATTATGAATTTCTGGTAGAGTAACCATATGACTTATTGTCTAAACAACTGAGAATGATAGATATGCCGATAATTATTATTCTGGGAAAACAATACTAAATCAGGACTGTCCTGGGCAAACTGAGATGGATAGTCATCCCAGTATAGGGAGATTTTGTTTTGTTGTAAGTTTTCAAGTACTGATTCCTGAGCTCTACCCAAGATCTACTGACTCAAATCTCTGGTATAGAGTTTGGGGAGCTATAATTTAATGAGGTGCTATAATTGGAAAGCCTTGGACTCTAACATGGTATCATTTAAGGCTCTTCCAATTCTAAAATTATGTTTAATAAGAAAATTTTGAAGATACACTGGCTATTAGACGATATCGAGGAATGATTAATTTTCTGTGTAACAATGATGTAATTATATAAGCAAATGTCTCTATTTTTAGAAAATACACATAGCTGCATTTAAGAGTAATTTCATGATATCTTCATCTTACTTTGAAGAAATACATACAGACACAAATAAAGCTGATTGTGGATACATACATGTTCAGTGGAATATTCTTTCAATTTGACTGTATGTTTGAAATTTCTCATAATAAAATAATGGGAGAAAAAAGCTGTTAGGGAAAATCTAGGGAAAAGCTGTTAGTTACATGACTTTTAAGAACTATGACCAAAAATGTGATTAGTAAATCAACAAATTATTAAAATGTGATTATTAAATCAAGTAATCAATTCATTGCTAAAAAAAAATCCAGCCTGTAATGCTCTTCTGACTTTTTCCTGAGACAAAACGACAAAGATATTCACTGCAGAACTGTTTAAAATAGTGTTATTTTTGCAACATTCTAAATGTATCAAAATGGCATGCTAATGTAAATTAAAGTATATTGGTTCATTCAAAGGAGGAATTATTAAACTATTAAAATAATCAGTCAAAAATATATTGTACACATATCCTATGCTGTTACATAACTAGGTACTAAAAGAATCTGAAATTATATCTATGCTGTAACTATATAAAATTTGTGGACTCAAGTGGGCAGAACTGAGTCCACACTTAGCATTATATAAAAATGCTAAGTAGCTTTTTCCCTTTATTTCATTTACTTAGTTTGAATTATGCTAATGATTTTGTGCAACCATACATTTTTAAAAACTGGCTGTTAACTGCTACCTTAATATGGTCCCGAGGGTAGTACATGACAGTTTAAAATTTGTTGAACTGAATATGACTTTGGGCGCCTCAACTGGTTGATGCTCAACTAATTTCGGAAATCCACAGAATCGTTTTGCCGACTACAAATATAACAAACATTACGTGTAAAAGGTCTCCAAACACCACAGGCACACTCACCGCAATGGGTAGGCTAAAAGCATATAGATAATGATGGTAGATATAATACTACCTGTCACACAGGACGGGCATGTCAGCCTTTACTCCGCAAAAGGCTTCTCGTTCTAGGCTGCCTCTAACTTTCACCAGAATGAGACAGTTCCAGGGTCCCAGGCAAGGGAGGAGACCATTTCCTTGCCTGGGAGGCTGGAAACTGCTCGACGCGAGCGCAAGGTTTCCAAGGCCCTTTAGCTCAGTTCCGCAGGACTTGACGATTCCTCAGTTGCTAGGTTTAGTTGCTAAGGCACCAACGGTCTCGCAGGAAGAAAGAGTTGTGCACTCCCTTTTAGAGTCGTAGCAAATCCTCTCCATGCCGAGCGTATTTGTTCCGGGTGGAAACATTTAGCTCCTCTAAGTGAGACGGGAAGGGAAGGAGAAGCTGGGAGTGACGCTTCAGCCGCGGAGGATTGTGGGAGGAGGTTGTCTCCAATTTCTCCTCCCCCTCCCCCTTCCCCGGCCAAGATGTCTGACATGGAAGATGATTTCATGTGCGATGATGAAGAGGACTACGACCTGGTGAGGCGCAGGGGACGAACCTGGAGGGCTGGAAGTGGTGTCTGGCTTTAGGTGCCAGGGCAGGGGCGGCCGCGGCCTCTTTCCGTAGAACATGTGCTCCTTCCAACTTCTCCCGGTGCAGTGACAGGACGGGTTTACCTCCTCCCCTTTTCCGCACCGGCTGGGGCCCTGCTTCTCCCGCATGGGGGAGGGGAGGGTAAACGAGGCAGCGGAGGGGGTCCCGAGCCTTACGCTCCAAGTCCGAGCGCCTCCACCATTTAATTAGACAACCCTGGCCTCCGGCGTCCGGTTCAGGGTGCCGCTGCCACCTCCCTACCGCGCGAGCCGCCTGTGGGGCTGTGTAGTGGTCTAGGCCCCGGCTCTGCCCTTTCGGGCCCAGCAGTGCGGGCCCCCTTCTTCACACTTGTTCTGAGCTGGTGCGAAATGCTGGGAGAAGGGTTTCAAAACTAGGGGCGAAGAGGGGGCGGGGAGCCTTTCTGCTCCCAGGCTGGAGCGTGAAATGGGTCTCCTGGAAACATAGCTTAATTAATCTTGCCCAGGGTTCGTTTTGGTTTAAGGTAAAGGTGTTGTGGAGAATTCAGAGCAAAGATAGCTGGGGAAAGTAGGTGAACTGCTTGTGTGTAAAGAGAAAAGTTGGGAAGGCGGTTCTGCTTTTTGTTTTGGTGAGCAAAGACAGGTAACAAGGGTACTGACCCAGTGGGTTTTTTCCGTGGCTTAGAAATTACTATTTAAAGTTAAAAATATCAACGGCGAAAAAAATAAATGATTTTATGCAGCTGAATGGTTATTTCAAAATATTTAAGTTTTAATTTATGAACAGGTTTATAGGTTTTTAAAAACATTCACTGACATTTCAAGTTGCTGCTCAAAAATATCTGTGTGGGAACTAAGAAAGTATCAAGACCAAGAATCAATGTCAACTTTGCTTTTAAAAAATTGAGTTGCGTTTTTCTGCATGGTTCATGTATATTGCAGTGATGCTGCATTATCATAAAGTTATGAATGCTTGGGAAAATGTGGCTTCTCTTACATTTTAAGTGCCAGAGACTCTCGAGATACTAATAATTGTTTTTGAATTAGTGTAAAACTACTTTATAATTTCCAATTAATCTTTCCATTTTAAAAGAAGGCACATTTGCAAAAGGGCAAGGAAGATGATTGCTTTTACATGAAAGTCATGGGAGAGTTTTTGAGCATCCTTAAAGTCAGATGTAAAGGTTTGTTAATAATTATGATTTCTGCCTTTCGTTTTTTGTTTGTGCAAACTAAACAAGTTGTAGGCAGTGCCTTCACTTATATTAAGAATAAGTTACTTGTGACATCTTAGGCATTTTTATTTATTACATGTTCTTATTACAGATATTTTGTAACAATGGAAGTGTTCCTTTTAAATATATTTGTATTTTTAGTTTGTGTTTTTAAATCTTTCTGCTCATGTCTTTCCTAAGCAATAGCTTTCAATACATACATGACTTATTAGCACTATGGTTAACTTGAAGGTCATCATTATATTAATTTGTGCAAGAATTTTAATTGAACATCCATTCAATTGTTTGACTTTCCACCACCTTTTAGGGTCTGTTATACCATGTGTACAATATAAAGTTGAATATATAGGTGGTTCGTCTTTTTTGAAAATTTCTTAACCAACAAAATAAGATCTTACACTACTACATAATTAAATGAAAATTTTTCTTTCAACATTCTGTTAAATAATTGTCCCTCTCCCCATATCTCTCTTGCATGGATACCATTCTGGATTCCGAGATAGCTGTCAAGTGGTGGAAGCTTTTGTGCTCTGTTTACTACTAGTTAAACTCTTTTTGTGTGGCACAATGTTTATTTAGTATTTTATTTTTTACTGCCTTAGTTAATTTTCTTAAACTACTGTGTTTAAAAAAAAGATTAAGGGTTTGGTTGCCATTTCATGCTTACATGTTGCTAAAAGAGAAGTTTTAGGTTGGTTTTTTAATAGTTATTTGCCTGGGTTTTTTGTTTGTTTGTTTGTTTGTTTGTTTCTTAAGATTTAGCATCTACAGAATTGACTTGCTGTTTTAGGGAAACTTATTTTTTATTTAAAAATGTATTGTTTGTTGGAAATTTTCCCATCACCTCAATTTAGTCAAAATGTTAAAACTAAAAGAATGAGGATTGCTGACCACATACATATATTTAGCCTTTTGTAGGTTGTCTCTTGATAAATTTTAATACTATGGGATACTTTTTGGTTTTGTCCAGTGTTGTAGAAATGGGTAGTTAGGCTACCATTGGGAAATGTGAAAATCTGTTTCTAAAACTATACAGTTTTAATCCAAGAAAGTAAATAACGATTTGTTCCCAAGATCTCAGAACGGACAAACTTGGTTTAAAAAGAAACAAACATGAAAGAAATTCAGTTTGGGTTTTTTAAACTTACTTATTTTTAGAGAGAGGGGAATGGAGGGAGATAGGGTGAGAAACATCAGTGCGAGAGAGAAACATCAATTGGTTGCTTCTCATACCAAATCCCAAACTCACTTCCCCTGCCCAGGAATTGAACCAGCAACCTCTCGGCTGCTGGGACAGTGCTCAACCAATTGAGAAACACCCGTCAGGAAGAAATTAGTGTTCTTGACTTCTTCTAATATCTTTTGATTTTTATTTTAGACAGAAGCAGGCGTTTTCTAAGCAGAGGAATTTATGTGGCAGGGAATGCAGAAATAGGAGATGGTATGGGTAAATGTCTTTTAATCCAGTGTTCATTTTACAGATTTGTAGATTATTTCCTCGTGTAGTAATACTAAATAACAACTATAGGGCCATCCATTAAGTTGATAATGCTTTTGATAAGTTCACTGTATAGTAATTCCACGCTCCAGACATTCTAGCATAAAATTGCTGAGTATTTCTAATCTTTTTGAAAAGGGTTTAGACAGATTGACTTCATACCAAAAGTTATTCTTTAGTAGATCCCATGATATGTACAGCATTGTACATTTGCATTTAAATGTTTTACAAGGAAAATTTTGTTTAAAAGGTAAAATAATTCCACTTGGTTACATATATTTCCAGCTGTGAGCCTCATTATATGCTTTAGTCAAGCTCATAGTTATGAGTAGTGAATGAATGTTTACTGGTATTGTTTTCTTCCTTTAATATATAGCAGTTTTAACGCCCTAAAAATTTACTTCTTTTTTTGTCTACTTTTTTGGGAGGGTAGAGATGAGTCTTAACTATAGGATACCTTACAGAATCTCCTATTTGTCACCATTTTAATAAGATCAGCAGACAAATGATGGCTTGCACTTTAGTTTCTCATGTTATAAAGAACCTTAGAACATGACTTAGCAAATTAAAAATTAACACTACTGCCTTTTAAAAAGATTTTGAATCAGTGTGAACACAATATATAATCTCATTTGAAAAATAACCATTAGATTAATATAGGGCAAGAGCGGGAGAATAGCTTTTTAGGGATTTGTGTGTTTAGTATAAAGAGTCTCACTTTGTCATTCATTGTGCATATAAGAGGAACAAGGAGGTTATAGGCTATTTTTCTGAGACTGTTGTCCTAGTAACTGACTGCTTGAAAAACAAAATGTTGGGCATCCCTAAGAATAGATTTTCAAACAGTATACCTTTTATGAGTCTGAGAGGCATTGTTTTCTATGCTGTACACACATTTGGTATTCTGCATATAGCCTTCACAAAGATGAAATTTATACAGTTGAGGCTTCTAAAAGAAACAGTGTGTTGAATTGTAAGTTATTGGAAAGAGCCCCAAATTATCAATAGTAGGAAAATACTAATATTAATACTAATCAGGTAACAATAGATAAATTACGGTATATTCATGTGATGAAGTAGCTATATCAGCATTTCAAACCATGCTTCTAAAGAATATTCAACGATATGAAAAACTTTTGAACCCTGCCTGGCTCAGTTGATTGAGCACCAGCCTGCAAACTGAAGGGTCTAGGGTTCAATTCCCAGTCAGGGCACATGCTTGGGTTGCAGGCTGAGTCCCCAGGAGGAGGCACACGGGAAGCAACCACACAATGATGTTTCTGTCACTCTCTTTCTCCCTCTCTTCCCCTCTCTCTAAAAATAAGTAAACAAAATCTTTTTTAAGTAAAGAAAAACATTTTATAAATTGTATTGGTCAGGGCTCTTGAATAAGGGACAGGAGTACATGTCAAACTAGTTTAAACTAAAAAGACTGTATTGGCTCACATCACCAGGAAGTATAAGTATGGCTGGATTCATTGGCTAAGATGATGGTGCTCCATCTCTTACTGTGTCTGTCTCTCTTCCTGGGCTGCTTTCTTCAATATTTTCTATTAACTGCCTTTACATTGTCTAAGATGTAATGTGGCATCTTCCGAGTATCATAACCCCAAAAGTAAGAGGGTCTTCTCTGCTAGCTCTAACAGGGAGATCTCAGGAAGGGACAGCTTAGGTATCTGTGGCCTTCTGTGAACCACTTTCACTGTGGAGAGGGAGGTGGGGTTGCTTGTCTCTTCTGTAGGAGGTGTGCTATAACTGAAAACCCTCATCTGGTAGAGGAAGGGTTTGTCCCTAATGCTGCATACCCAGTGAACACATCTCCACTATAAATATGTAATTTACATTACAGTGTTATTGGGTGGGAATAAAATTTACTTTGTTGAGTGGGAGAAAATAGAGAAAAATGTCTGGAAAATCTGAAAAGTGTCAGGAAATTAAAATTTGTTTCTTTCTTGCAACCCTTTCACAGTGAGTCTATATTACTTTAATTGCTAGAGGAGAGAAGTGAGGTTACAGGGTAAAGATGAACAGAAATTTTACTTTGATCTTGGAAGGCCGAACAGTGATTTTTGTCATTGCTAAAAATTTTTTAGAGTTTGTCTTAGAAATTGTCTTCAGAATCTGAGGAGTCTAGCTTTTTAAAATAGATATTTCATTCACATGGCTCAAGAATATAAAATATAAAAATAAACTTTCCATTTTTGTTCCTCATTACTCCCCATATATTTTTATCC